CAGCCCATGCCCAAACCCAGGAGGTAGACCCATTCATTCTCGAGCGGAGAGGAGCCAATATCCCAGACCCGGCCCAGGCCACGCCCAGCCGACAGGACACCCCCCAAGATCCAAGATGGAGGGTGCAATGAGCTGTTGCTGAGAACTAGGAAAAAACTGTGCGTGAGTATTATGATAAACTTTGGTAAGTCCATATTTATTTAAATAAAAACTATTTAATTAAATATAAGATCATTAAGAAAGTCCTAAATATTACTAACTAACTTTTTCATTCAATCAAACAAACTGGACGAGGAGACCTTGGAGAGCCTGGAATTGTTTGTTGACAAGTGTTTTTACAGCTTAGTCATGGGTAAGCCTAAAGATTCATCCGGTGCTGCTAGTGATTCAGCTAACATCCCCACTGCTAAGCGGCACCGACAGGGAAGCTCAGATAGCGTTACGACACCGCCTCCTGATAATACAGGCTTCAAGGAGATATTAGAATCAATTGACCAGAAGCTAACTAGCTTGGACGCCCGACTAGCATTGGTAGAGATGCTACATAAAGAGTTTCAAGGCCTTAGGGAGTCTTTAGAATTCAGCCAACAACAGGTAGCATTACTTGCTAGTGAAAATCAGGAGCTGAGGGGAACGGTTAAACAACTCACCGAGGAGATGACGCTGCTATCCGGGGATAATAAAAAAAATTAAAGAATCGATCCTGGATATCCAAGCCCGGAGCATGTGGGATAACCTCGTCTTCTCGGGAATCCCGGAGTGAGAGGACGAGGTCCCTGAGGCCTCCGTCCGTGACTTCATTCAGAATCAGCTGAAGTTGCCGAGTGACGCGGTTAATTCCATCACTTTTCACCGAGTCCACCGCCTCGGAGGTAAGAAACCTGGAAGCAATTGGCCGCAGCCGATTGTAGCTAAGTTTGAGCATTATAAACAGAAAGAACAAGTAAAAAGCCGAGGTAGGGAACTGCGTGACACGAACTTCAGCATGAACGACCAATTCCCTGCAGAAATTCTGAGTAGAAGGCGCGTCCTGTTCCCGATTAGGAAGAAAAATATAAACGAGGGCAGAAGAGCTACGGTGGCTGTGGACAAACTTTACATCAATGGTCAGCTGTTTAGAGATCCAGAGGTTACTCCCTGGCTCTATTAATAATATAAATAAGGTAAGTATGATTTTCAGTTGCTAATTTTACTTAAAATGTATTAGCAATAATATATATTCATATTACTTACCAGATATATATGTAATTTTTCAGCACAGCTCGGTTGGTGGGTTACACAGATGGTGGTGGTACACGGTGGCATGGCACTTAATGTGGTAAGGGGGTTCTTTTTTTATTTTCTCTTCTTTTATCTTTATGTCTTTATTATCATTTCACTTTCTTTTTTTTGTCTCTATTTTTCTGACTCAATAATTATTAGCACACAGGCACAAAGGCTTATATATATCCATATACATACATACAAATACCTCATAAAGGAATACATCCATGATTTACCTTCAAAAACAGCACTTAGTTTATCTATAAATCATAAATAATCAATCATTAAGGATTATGTTATTGTCTGGGTGTTTTACTGTTTTTGATATTTGTGATAATGGGTGTGGTTTAATTATATTTTCACAAGCACAAGTATGGGCATCTTAAGGTTTGTCACATGGAATATTAATGGAGCCGGTAGCCAACATAAAAAAAATAGAATCTTTAGCCAGATTAAAAGATTAAAGGCAGATGTTGTATTACTCCAAGAAATTCATAAATTACCGTCAACTGTGGATGAGCTAAAATCTCCTGAGTTTCCTCATGTATTTTCAGCCTGCTATAACTCAAGACAGAGAGGAGTAGCAATATTAATACATAAAAATGTGAACTTCACAATATTAGACAGTTATAGACCCGCAAGGTAGATATATAATATTAAAATTATCCATACTCAGTCAAAAATATTGTATTGTTAGCTTATATGGGCCAAATGTGGACGATGCCGCTTTTTTTCATGATCTCTTCTCTACTCTATCAAATCACATGGATTGCTCGCTGGTACTGGGAGGTGATCTTAACTTTGGTCTAGATAACAAAATAGACAGGCTGAATGCAGTAGGAGCTCAACGCAGTTGGCAATCCATAAATGTAGTTAAACAGTACATGAGTGATTATGGACTCTGCGATGCATGGCGGTCTCTTCACCCTAATAGTAAAGAGTATTCTTTCTTTTCACATGTGCATCACTCTTACTCTCGTCTGGATTATTTTATAATCAGCAACTCATTGCTGACCAACATTTCAGACACTAAGATACACCCTATTGCTGTCAGCGATCATGCACCAGTTACTTTAAATTTAGATAATAAGAAAGAAATCCCAAAAAGTATAAACTGGAGATTAAATACCTCACTGCTTATGGACGAAGAATTTATACAATACTTTAAAAATGAATGGACATCGTATTTAGAGTTTAATGACTTGCCAGGTACATCGGCATGTGCACTCTGGGAGGCTGGGAAAACAGTTATGAGAGGGAAAATAATATCTTACGCAACAAACAAAAAGAAAAAAGAAAATAAACATATTAAGGAATTAGAGAAATCTATCAAATTATTAGAAAGTTTACAAGGAGAGGAAACACAGAAAAAACTACGCAAGATAAAATTAGAACTAAATGAATGTATTGACAAAAAAACAAATTCTTGGTACAAAGACTTCGCTTAGAACATTTTGAACACAGTAATAAATCAGGTAGCTTTTTAGCTAATCAACTCAAATTAAATAAAGAAAAAACGTCTATATATGGTATTAAAGATACAAATGGTAACATAACTTATGACGAGGAAAAAGTAAATAGTGTTTTTAGAGATTTCTATAACACTCTATACACTCCACAAATAAATCCAACAGATGAAGATATTAATCAATTCTTGGAGAGAGTAATACTTCCAAAACTAGACAGTAGTCAATCTTCAGAACTAGACTCACCATTAACATCAGATGAGCTCCGTGAAGCCATTAAAAACATGCCTAATAAGAAATCTCCAGGCCCAGATGGATATCCAGCAGAATTTTATAAAGAGTTCTGGAACATCCTGGAACCAATATTTCACAGAATGCTACATGAGTCAGAAGAGAATGGCAGATTTCCAACACATATGAATTCAGCCAACATTAGTCTACTATTAAAACCAGGCAAAGACCCAGTACTACCTACCAGTTATCGCCCCATCTCTCTTATTAATGTGGATGTTAAAATAATTAGTAAAGTCCTCTCTAAAAGATTAGAGAAAATAATTCCTCTCATTATTCATCCTGACCAAACTGGATTCATAAAAGGAAGACACTCAACCATTCCCCTTTTTTCAAGTGCATACCTCCACCTCTCCAAGTTCTCTTCCACCTGTTCTCAACACAGATCACAATGTCATCTGCAAGTCCATCACCAGAGCAAACAAGAAGGGGCTCAGAGCAGATCCTTGATGCATTCCCACCTCCACCTTAAAGCTATCTGTCACTCCTACAGCACATCCCACCACTGTCCTGCTGTCCTCATACTTGTCCTGGTGTCCTCATACATGTACTGATGTCCTCATACATGTCCTGTACCAGTCTAACATACCACACCTCCTCCCTCAGCACTCTGTCAGATGCTTTTTCTAAATCCACAAAGACACAAAGGAGTTCTTTCTGACCCTCTCTGTACTTCTCCATCATCATCCTCAAATCAAAGATGGATCTGTGGTGCTCTTTCTTGACATGAAACCATCCTGCTGCTCACAGACAGTCACCTCTCGTCCAAGTCTTGCTTCCACAACTCTTTCCCAGATCTTCATCGTGTGACTCATCAACTTAATTCCCCTGTAGTTGCTACAACTCTGTACATCACCCTTGTTCTTAAAAATGGCCACCAGCACACTTCTTCTCCATTCCTGAGGTATTTAATCACCTTAAAATATGTGATTGAATGTTTGAGTCAAACACCTCACTGCCATCTCTCCAAGACATTATATACAGCATAACAGGTTTGGTTTATTTATCAGATGTAAAATGAACACAAGGTCAATAATACAATGAAATGCTGAGGATGAGAAGAACTGTCTCGACACGCAAAAAAACCAAAACAACAACAGCAAATATCCAAGCACACAACAAAAATACAGAAACAAGGCGCCAAAAGTAAAAAAATAAATAAATCTACAGCAGCATGGTCCAGTTAGCAGCATGATACTGTTAGCGGTGTGGTCTTGTTAGCAGGTCCTGTCAGCATATTTATGATAATAAGGACCGCAGCAGCTGTCTCCCAGACTGTCCTCCAGAACTGGACAGAGAACATCCAAGGTTCCTCCATAGAAGCAAGTGGGTCTGTAGAGTACGGTCCATCCAGGAAGATGGAGGATCATGGAGACAGCCACCATGACAGGCCTGAGCCTGAGCCAGAGGATGGAGGGGGTCAGGGAATTGAACCACCATGGCACGATGGCAAGGCAGCAACACACAAAACTCCAGAAGTATGTCGCAGTCATACCCGTACCGTGGGTGTACAGTGTAGGCACAAAACGTTCAAATAACAACACGAATAAAAAAGTTTAAAAAGTCGTGTCAAACTGGTTTGACATGACTATCAACAAGGAAGAGGGCCGGCAATGGAGGAGGGGGGCGTGCAAAAGAGACCATCTTATCACAAACCAAACTGGTTTGTTCCACTTTGGAGTAAGCTATTGGGGAAGAATCAGTTTTGTTGTGTGTTTCCTTGACTGATGAAGCCTTCTGGATGGAAGGTGAAACGTTTCAGCACAAAAAAAGAAACTGTCCAGATGACCTGACTGAAAAATGTTGGAAGAATAAAAAAAGTTGCGTCGAAGCAGAGCTCCCGTCAGTGCTGCCATTCTGCAGCGCACGTGACGTCAGAGTCACAGTACAGTACATAACATATAACAGTACTACTCTGACTAGTACAACCAGTACTGAGACACAGTACTTTCCTGAGCATTACAGTCAGAACTACCTCACCGAACCAGGCCTGTTGGTCTCCTTCCACCTCGATTGCAAGGCCGAAGTCGGCCAGTTTCACCGCAGCTCCTTTGGATTTGGAAGCTAACAGAAGGTTTTCAGGCTGCAGACAAAGAACACATGATGACATGTTAATGCTGCCATTTGATTATTATTATGAATACTAACAATCAGGGGTGTAACGGTACGCTAAAATCACATTTCGGTTCGGTTCAGTTTCAAGGAGGGCTCGGCTCGGTTAATTTTCGGTACAAAAAAGGCCAAAATAAAGACTTACAAAACTTTTATTTTGAAAATATGCCAAGTAAACAAGTTCAGTCATTACAGACTTCTTAGCTGGAGGTGATCTGGTGGATGAAGAAGAATCAGCTGCTGTCATCCTCAGACTGCAAACAACACAGACATAAAAAATTGAGTTAATAAGATTATAATTTTAAATTAAAAAAGTTAATTAGATCACAATAATACAATAACAATACCTCTTCTTCATGGTCATCATATGAGGTGGTTGAATCTCTCGCTCATCATCATCATTATCAGGGCAGGGCTTTAATCTGCTCCAGGGCTTGTTGACGATCAGTTTGATCTTTTTCATAAAGTGCTGCTACAACTTTGTGGCTGAAGTGTTGATGTGATGGATGTTGTAGGCAGCGGGGCTCAAGAACTTTATGCTTAAAGCCGGCGCATAAACAACATTTGGACCTAGATCCAGAGCTTTAAAATCTCTTACAGCTTGTGTTATTGATCTGGACCGATCTGAATGACCTGATGTAGGTTGTTTAAATGTTGCTGTTATCGGTCTTTGAACCAAACTATGTTCACGTTCGGATGATGTCGTTTCAAGTTGTTAACAAGTTAGACGTGTTGCTGCTGCAGATCCAATCTCCGTGAAACAACGTCGACACACAGCAAATTTAATGAGTGAAAAAAATAACTGAAACGGTCGCACGTGGACCGAACTGAACATACTGTACCGAAACGGTTCAATACACCCACGTGTACCGTTACACCCCTACTAACAACGCTAACTCTGCAAGACTGCTAACACAGGATAACGCTTGTCAGTATAAGTCACACATACAACCACCAAAATGTAATTTTGTGAACAGAAAACTAAAACTGTTGTGAAACTCTTTACATTCAACACTTTTCAGTTCTACAGAATCTTTTAGAAAATGACCGGTTCTTCAGAACAGTCCAGTTAGTTCAGACAGATGATACCTTCAGGTCTCGGTGGACCACACCCATCTGATGACAGTGAAGCACCGCCTCCAAAATCTGCTGGATACAGTGGCTGCAGACAGAGGTCAAAGGTCAACGTGGGGAGCTGAGGGGGGCTCTGCAGATGATGCAGGTGTGGCTCTTACCTGGCATCAGCTTCACTGTAATATTCTCTGGCTACGATGTCTTCAAACAGCTCCCCACCTGTCACTCTGTGGAATAAAACACACATCAGCTACACACAGACACACAACTGAAGTAGAAAGCAATTAAAAGCTTCAAAATTCATAGAAATAATCCACAAGACGACAATGACACAAAAACAAAATGTATATTTTTATTCTCAAAATGACAAAAAAAAAAACATTAGAAAATTTAATTCAACAATTTACAACACAAAAATAACAACACAATAACACATGAAACCTGAACGAAGGCAACAAAAGAGACGGACAAACAGACAGACAGCTGGTTGTGAACTCACAGGTCAAAAATGAGGTAATGATGAGCCTCTTCTGAAATGCTGTCATGGAGCCGAACTGAAATACAAAAAAAGTTTTTACTAAACTGACTCAGAGTACTGTGACATCCCATAATGAACCATGACATCCCATAATGAACCATGACATTCCATAATGAACCGTGACATTCCATAATGAACCATGACATCCCATAATGAACCGTGAAATCCCATAACGAACCGTGACATCCCATAATGAACCGTGACATCCCCTAATGAACCATGACATCCCATAATGAACCATGACATCCCATAATGAACCATGACATTCCATAAAGAACCGTGACATTCCATAATGAACCGTGACATCCCATAATGAACCGTGACATCCCATATTGAACCATGACATTCCATAATGAACCATGACATTCCATAATGAACCGTGAAATTCCATAATGAACCATGACATCCCATAATGAACCATGACATTCCATAATGAACCGTGAAATTCCATAATGAACCATGATATCACATAATGAACAATGACATCCCCTAATGAACCATGACATTCCATAATGAACCATGACATTCCATAATGAA